ATCAATCCAGCTGCACTGAAGCAATTAAGCTTTATTGATTTGCACCAGATGAGGACCATTACAGTCAGTGAATTCACACTGACATTCTGCTGGGGACCTATCTCTGCAGCCACAACCAAGAAACAAGTACAAATACTGTCTCAACCTTTTGACTCAAAGAATTTCAGTTATTGAAAGTCATATAATAAAAGTGATTTTTTTTCCCTGAAATTAAGTTTCCTTGAAGTAGAATTCTGATACTTCAAGACTTCACAAAATTGACATTTACCTCATTCTTAAGAGTGACATAGCAACATTATGTAGGACTTAAGTTGTGAACAAGCATACTTCTTATGTAGTCTTAAGAGCACATCATGGTTGAAAATAATAATTCGCATTATTCAACAAAAGCTATGAATACAGTCTTGGAGACTGTTCTTGGAGAAAAGAACAAAGTGTTTCCCAAAGAGCAGAAACTTGTTGCATGTCTGAGAGACAGTCAGTTTAAGTGTTCCCCCCCACCCCTCCTTTCATTAGGTGGTAATTCAGCTCTTCATCTTTTCCAATTTCCTTTACTCTCTTTCAGGTAATTACCGTTAGGGGCTCTGAAGTTAATGAGTTATACACAGCATATTTAGAAGTGAAATATGCTTTTAGAGTATGAAGTTAAGTTAATGGAAACATCAACCTGAATAAATGCAGAAGCCAGACATCTTCGAGATCAGAGCTTGATTGATTTTATAAGTCAGGTGTTCACATGAATAACTAACCCTTACTTAGTTCAAGGAGCATTTTGACAAGAAATTTGCACTGACAAGCTGTAAAGGCAGCCTTGTTATAAGAGACTGCTTTGTGTTGTCCTTTGTATTTTTTATCTTACATAATTTCACTCTTAAGTAATCTAAATCCTTAACACCATTGTAGGTCCATATATTACCATAAAAGTATTTGTAAAGATTTTATAAGTAGCTTTGCAAATTAAGAAAGATGCGAAACCACTAATGTGAAAAGCATGACCCTACTTCTGTAAATTTTACACTGTGTATAAAGAACTCTTTGTTGTCTCCTCTTTTATGATGAAACACATAACAAAAGTTGACTAAGTATTTTCCAGTGACTTTAGGTTACAGTTACCTTATTTCAAAATATCATTCTGTCCAATTTTTAAATGGACTAAAGATTTGGAAAATATTTTCATAAAATATAAATATTAAGTAACATAACACCTAAAAGTTTGACCTATCTTTTTGAACACAAAAGCTGCCAGACTTTTAATCACACCAAAACTGAATTAATCAGATTTCGCAAATCAATTCAGTTGTTTTTGAGCTTCACATTCTCCTGAAGAAGCTAAAAGACTGATCCAAAGTGAATTTAGTATATTAGTTAAGAAAAAGCTCAAAATCGACTGAGAATTGTTACTCTGTCTCTAAGATTTATATATTTATCACAGGGAGGAGACATGTAAGGACATTCCCTAGGTGTACAACCACAGAATGAATGTGGACAAGGAAGAGACAAGATACATTTTATTGTGAAATCTTTCCTTCTACTACAAACAGGAATATTTTTCCCCTGTCCTTCGTCTTTCCACCCCTCCAATAGCCCTTTTAATGAAGCTACTATCTAAAAGACTCACACGATCCTTTTTGTGTTCCAAAATTGCAGCCAGTATTAGAAAACATGTAGAAGGAGAAACTATGCAGAAAAAATAAATGTACTTGTTAACCACAAGAATATATAAACACCAGAACAATTTACCTCTGGAGACGGTAGACTCTTTAGCCCTTGATGTCTTTCATCCAAGACTTCCTTTAAAAAAAGAGTAGAAAACTAAGGAGCAGAACAGTAAGACATAAATGTAAACCACAATAATTCAGCTTACATCCTTTCAGAGAAACTCTAACATGTTGAAGACTTCACTGACTTTCTAGTCAACCAGTACCACTGTTTTACTAGGTGGATATTAGGTTAGAATCATCTGATGAAATGTTAAGGCCTCTGTTAATGCACAGGTGGCTCAGAGTCCCTCTGTTGATGTGAATCTGTTAATCTGTCACAATGTGTTATTAAAACAATCTGCTAAACAGCCAACAGGTGTCACTCTACATAATCAAACAAAAAATTAAAATGAAACCTGTCTCACAGCATTCAGTACAGAACTGCCACTTGAAAAATACATATTTTAAGAATTTCACCCAGCCCAAAGACAGGTTTTGTGAAGTGAAAATTAACCTTTTTACGTAACACTAAGAAAGCTTGAAATCAGTCTAATTCCTAGCATCAGTGGGTTACACAGCCAAGATTTCTTCATTGCCAGAGGCAGGAGGGGAGACTGACTTTCTAGATTCTTGCTTTGCCTTTGAGCTCTTTTTTTTTTTTTTTTTAAACTTTAGGTTATGTCATAAGTAAAGCAGATTCCAAAGCATTTAAAGGTAGAGAAGGCTACAAACACAACATGAAGTCCTAAATTATAATGTACTTGTTCTAATTATTCATCTTCCAAAAAAACTCTGTAGGATTATGTCTGTCAGGCCGAACTTAATCCATAGATTAATTTGCACCAGTGTAAACTAGCACCAATGTATGGTGCTTCTATATTACACTGCATGTGACTATTCCCTCACAACCAATGTTAACATTGATTTATGTACTCTAAGCAATGTAAAAATTCACCTCCTTACCCCAACTTCTGCCCAGCTTGGGGTGTATGTGTGTGAAGTTCTCATACTTCACAGATCCAAATCTGTTACCATCCAACTACAGCTTTAAAGCATACGTAGAAACTGAATAAGACAAAGTAAAAAAAAACCAACAATATTTGTTCTAATTCGATAGATCACCCAAGATTTTACAGATAAATACCTGGGATTTCAGCTCTGTCTGCAGCTGTAACATAAAAAGAAGACAATTGGCTTTAAGTGCTCATCTCATTTTAATCAATTGAGGCTCCAGCTCATGAGAGTAACAGAGATTCAATTACAAGACAAGTTGAAAATACTTTAAATATTACTTTGGCATTAATAGTTCAGTGAGGTCTAACACAATTTCAAAGTGTTTCTTTTTCTGTTTATGGATCTATAAATGCTACTACAGACTTTCAGAAAACAGCGTTCATACAGTGCTCCTTGCACAGAAATCCCACCCTGCAGCCCACCTGTTATGAGTTTGTAACAGTTCAGGACAAAATAAGAACAAGCATCAGTCATAAACCTCTATCCAATAAATCCAGTACACCTATGGATGATTAATATTAAAGACTTTCTTGGCAGAAAAAAAAGAGCAAACATTCAGAGCCCAGGCATAAGGAAGTCTGAATTCATACATATTCCCTAGTGCAGTAAGATCTACACAATATCTGTTCTGCAACCCCAACATGGGAGAACAAGAGGGTAGCTGAGTATTAGAAAGAGCTGGCTTTTCCATCTGCACTGCCTAGTAGCAGCACCTGATGTCTCCAGAGCAGCAACATCACCACAATTCACTTCTACAAACCAGGGTGAGATGCTGGCACATCTGAGTCTAGTGTAGTTCTGTCTTCAGAAAGGCCAGAATTTAGCCCAGGTTCTTGTTGCCTCAAGAGATGTGCTCACAGATATGAAGTACAGACATTTACACTGCCACAAGCTGTAGATTGTAGTTTTATTTTGAAGGAAAAGTTTTATGGAAACCTATTGGATGCTCATGCATTATTAATTTTCTTCAGCTATAAAAATATAAAATGGAATGTACAATAACATGTTGTTTATTGCTTATGCTTGTGTGATGCTCAGAAACTCGGATCTCCTGCCAGATACTTATAAGCAGAACTGTTCCACTTCATGTTGATGACACAGCTCCATCAAAAAGCGCTAATCAAATTGCCCAAGGCCTTCCAAACAAACTGTTAAGCTGCATCAAAAAATAGTTGAATGCTACTGCCCATCTTAGTCTTATACTGACAGCATGAACTGGAAAGCGTCCAAATATATAATAAAAATATAACAGGTTCTGCAGATTTGCTTCTGAAATTCCAGCCATGTTACATCACTGTCCTTAAATGAACAGCAGCTAATAGCTATCACAATATTTAGAGGCTTACCAAAAAAAAAAAAAAGTTCCACTTTAAAGGTAGCGATGTGTTAACATCAGATTGTAACGTGCTAAATGACAAATATTCCTTATCTCAAAAAGCTGCTAATACTAGCTTGTTTGTTACTCTAAACATTTCACAGTATTTAAATAAATAATTCCAAATAACAAACCCATTCTGGTTTTCTTAGTTCTCTGCCAAAGAAATATTAGGCCTTGCACTGACAGAAGATGACCTTAGTAATGTTAAGTTTTGGTTATTTTTCTTGCAAGCGAACATTTAGGTATCGATCTCACAGATAGGAGAAATAAAATTGCCTTTATGCACCTGTTTCTTTCATTAATGGAAAAAGTCAGGAACTTTTTTGTTTAGTTGATCATTTCCTTCTTGGCTGTTGCCAGTCTTACCTATGTTTTCTGTTTTGTTTTATGGCTTTAACAGTGTTTTTAAGTGGATGAAGAAGCAGCAGCTGGTAGGATGATGTCTTCAGGAAACAGACAACATTCAGACTGGAAGGCTCTGGCAATATAAATGGTATCCTAGGAAACTGGAAGTGCCTTGAAATCATGTATGTCCTCCTCTCAAGGACACCTTACAAAATAGGAGAAGATTAACTGCCTTTCTGTAATAAAGGCTTGCTATTTAGAATGAGTGACAAAGTTTTGAGTTGAAGATACTCTTACTGTGGGAAGTACATGTATCCAGTTGTTAGCAGATCCTCACTATTATACTGTTAGCCAAATCTATATTAGTGAATAGTGTACATTGTGAACAAATCCGCGCAACAGTGCAGTTGATGCTGAACATCTAAAATTAACATTATGTGGTTTAGCTCTGGCAGGCAACTGAGCACCATACAGCCACTCTCTTGCTCTCTCTGGGGGGGGGGGGGGGATGGGTGAGAGAACTCAAAAAAAAAAAAAAGTATGAGAACTCATGGAAGGACAGATTACTAGGTAAAGCAAAATCCACATGCACAAGCAAAGCAAAACAAGGACTTAATTTGCTACTTCCCTGCGCTGCATGGGACTTCCACCCACTACATTGTTTTTGTTTCAAAGAATGACACTTAACTGTGATAGCTTAGACTCTGGTTTGTACAGCTAGGGAGGAAGGTAAATTCTCTTTAACTTGGTTGATTTCTTCAGACAGTTTCTCCACAGCCCAGATGCAGGCCTGTAGGGAAGAGGGGAGACTTTGTTTGTACTGCCATAGTTATTTAGCCAGTTCATCCACACTGGGTTCCTCATCTTCATTCCAAGCCATTACTGCCAATGAGCTGACATATGATGATGGCGCACTGTGTACAAGTTAATATCTACCTAAACCTGTTTGTGCTTACCACAAGCCAAAGTTTGCCTTCACATTATGGTACCTTTTTCATACAGCCTTTAACAAATACTTTAGAACATTCTTTAAAGTCAGGCTTATCTGTATTCACTTGAGCTTCTGAGTTTTTTTTTTTTTTTTTTTTTTTTTTTAAACCAGCTGGGAAGGAAGCTTAGAATCAATATAGGTGATTTCACTGAAAACAGACAGGGTGAAGGAAGTATTCAAACTCCTCAACATTAAACTGTGGAACCCAGGAGCACTTACATGCCAGTTTCTGAACTTGAGTCACTGCCAAATTACCTCACAGTGAAGTAGTACCACCAGGGTTTTACTGTACTGAGAAGGCACCATCAATGTAACTAGCTCATACAGTCTGTAAAAACAGAAATAGTAGAAAACTTGAAGGAAAAAATGCAGCCTACTGGGGAACACCAAGTCCATTTCACCACGATTGAAAAGCACCTTAGATAACCTGACCCTTGCCGTTCCCCCCGCCCCCCATGCTTCCTAGATAGCAAAGGTCAAATGATCCCCATCTGATGATCCCCACCTGGCAGGTTTCACTTAGCAAGGGGGAGCCAAGAGACCTTGTGGAATAGGCTCATCTGTCTGGCTTCAGTCTTTTAAGGTCAATTGCTCCTTATGACTAATAGAAATAACCTGACAAGAGGCTTAGTGGTTAGAGTTGACCTAATGAATTAACTACAAAAGGTGCACAAGGGTCATATTTCTGTTAGTCATTCTGTGAGCAAAATTAGTACGGAGCCTGTTAAAAAAAACAACAACAAACAAATAAAGAAATGAATAAAAAAGAAAATGACCTTAAAGGCAGACTTGCCATCATAGATTTTCATCTGTCTAGTCATGACAGATAAAGAATTTAGCAATCAGAATTCCTTTTCTTGATATTAATGTTATTTGCATTTTCTTCTCTGAGATCCCTTCTTTATGCAGGATTTTTCTAAGTCTAGCCCCATGACCTCTGACTACACTATTTATAGAATCATAGAATATCCTGAGCTGGAAGGGACCCATAAAGATCATCAAGTCCAACTCCCGGCACCGCACAGGTCTACCCAAAAGTTTAGACCACATGACTAAGTGCACAGTCCAATCACTTCTTAAATTCAGACAGGCTTGGTGCAGTGACTAGTTCCCTGGGGAGCCTGTTCCAGTGCACGACCACCCTCCTCTCGGTGAAGAACCTCTTGCTGACGTCCAGCCTAAACTTTCCCTGCCTCAGCTTAACACCGTTCCCGTGGGTCCTATCACTGGTGATTACGGAGAATAGGTCAGCACCTGCCTCTGCACTCCCCCACGCGAGGAAGTTGTACGCTGCAATGAGGTCCCCCCTCAGCCTCCTCTTCCCCAGGCTGAAGAGGCCCAGTGACCTCAGCCACTCCTCATACGGCTTCCCGTCTAGGCCCTTCACAATCTTCATCGCCCTCCTCTCGACACTCTTGAGCAGTTTAATGTCCTTCTTGTACTGTGGTGCCCAGAACTTCATGCAGTACTCGAAGTGAGGCCGCACCAGCGCAGAGTAAAGTGGGACAATCACTTCCCTCGATCGACCAGCAATGCCATGCTTGATGCACCCCAGGATATGGTTGGCCCTCCTGGCTGCCAGGGCACACTGCTGGCTCATGTTCAACTTGCTGTCAACCACCGCCCCCGGATCCCTCTCTGCGGAGCTGCTCTCCAGCATCTCGTCACCCAGTCGGTACGTATAGCCAGGGTTGCCCCGTCCCAGGTGCAGGACCCGGCACTTGCTCTTGTTAATCTTCATGCGGTTGGTGATCGCCCAGCTCTGCAATCTGCCCAGATCTCTCTGCAAGGCTTTTCCACCCTCATCTGAGTCTACAACTCCTCCAAGTTTGGTGCCATCAGCAAACTTGCTCAAAACACCTTCTAGTCCTACATCTAAATCATTTATAAAAGCATTGAAGAGGACCAGCCCTAAAATGGAGCCTTGAGGGACCCCACTAGTGACCATGCGCCAGCCTGATGTGGCCCCATTCACCACAAGCCCTTGAGCCCTGCCTGTCAGCCAATTGCTCACCCACCATATGATGTGTTTGTTAAGTTGTATGCTGGACATTTTGTCCAGTAGGATCCCACGGAAAACCATGTCAAAAGCTTTGCTCAAGTCCAAAAAGATCACGTCAGCTGGTTTCCCTTGATCAACTAGGTGGGTGATCTTATCATAAAAGGAATTCAGATTCGTTAGGCAGGACCTACCCCTCATGAACCCATGTTGGCTGGGACCAATGACTGAATTGTCCCCCAGGTGCGCTTCAAGAACTTCAAGGATCATCTTCTCCAGAATTTTACCAGGTGCTGATGTGAGACTGACAGGCCTGTAGTTGCCACGGTCTATTTTCTTGCCCTTCTTGAAAATTGGTATGACATTTGCCAGCTTCCAGTCCACTGGGACCTCTCCAGATTCACAAGATCATGGAAAAATAATCAAGAGAGGTCCCATGATGGCGTCAGCCAGCTCGTTAAGCACCCTGGGATGAATCCCACCCGGTCCCACAGGACTTGTATAGATTCAGGTGGAGCAGCAAATCCCGCACAAGTTCAGGGTCAGTTGGGAGTTGATCATTCCCACCATCGTGGTCCTCCAGCTCAGGGCACCCGGGGTGTATTTACTTCGGCTGCATAGAAGCTATGACACATAAATGCCAGGCTCCTGGATCCTCACTCACTATTCAGGTCAAGGACTGGGCTGCAAGTTTTGGCTTTAAGTTGGTTACGTGCCTACATTGCTGTTTCCTGGCAAGGTCATGGGAAGAAGGTTGGCTGGCCTGGGGAAGCTTACGTGCACACGGCTTTTAGGCTCCAGCCAAAGCGTTCCTCTAGATCTGGAAGTTTGAAGATGGTTGGAAAAGCCATCTGAGTGGTTAGAAAGCTGCCTGGCAGAGAAAGACCTGGGAGTACTGGTGGCTAGTCAACTGAATATGAGCCAGCAGTGTGCTCAGGTGGCCAAGAAGGCCAACAGCATCCTGGCTCGTACAAGAAATGGCGTGGCCAGCAGGACTAAGGAAGCCATTGTGCCCCTGTACTTGGCTCTGGTGAGGCCGCACCCCAAGCACTATGTTCAGTTCTGGGCCCTCGCTACAAGAAGGATATTGAGGGGCTCCAGTGAGTCCAGGGAAGGACAACAAAGCTGGTGAGGGATCTAGAGAACAAGTCTTATGAGGAGCGACCTGAGGGAGCTGGGCTTGTTCGTTCTGGAGAAGAGGAGGCTCAGGGGCGACCTTATCACACTCTACAGGTACCTTAAAGGAGGATGTAGCGAGGTGGGTGTTGGTCTGTTCTCCCATGTGCCTGGTGATAGGACGAGGGGGAATGGGCTAAAGTTGCACCAGGGGAGGTGTAGGCTGGATGTTAGGAAGAACTTCTTCACCAAAAGGGTTGTTAGACATTGGAACAGGCTGCCCAGGGGAGTGGTCGAGTCACCATCCCTGGAGGTCTTTAAAAGATGTTTAGGTGTGGAGCTTAGGGATACGGCTTAGTGGAGGACTTGTTAGTGGTACGTCAGAGGTTGGACTACGTGATCTTGGAAGTCTCTTCCAACCTAGGTGATTCTGTGTTGCAGTCTCCAAGCTGGGATACAGCCACCTGTTAGTTCAGCATAACTGAATTTTGTGTTCCTTGCGATAGCTGTTCCTTCACCTCCTCTTCAGAGACAAGGACATGCATCTCTTTCACGCTCCTTCATTAGTAAAGAAACCAGGATAGATCAAAGCCCGTTTCTTCATGTCAGTAAGATACCTGCCTTTGGTTTCAGTGAAAATTCAGGCCCTAGCACCTGAAGTTTCTTCTGGATGGTGTTTCTTCTATATAGGGTAATTTCATTTCCCTGTTGAAGACTTACAAGGACGTAGTAACAAAAGCAAAGGCATAAAACAGTCCAGGAGGCATAGGCAGCTTTTGAGCCTGCAGCAGACTATAGGTATGATATTATCATTTCAAACAAATACAGTTTATGTAACGTGAATGGTTTCAGCACGCTTGCACTCTGCCAAAAGACAGAAAATGGGACCTTCATTTTATGACCAGATGGAAAAGAGAAACAACAACAACAAAAATTTTCCTTCACCTAATTTTTTTTATTTTGTAACTCCTTCAGGTGTCCACGAGGAATTATCAACACCTTCCTCTCCCTAACCCCTTCTCCCCCCCCCCCCCCAAAAAAAATATTAAATAAATAAATAAGAGGGACATTGTGGCATAGAGGTATAATTTCAGTTCACATCAGAAGACATTCTTCTCACTGAAGTACAGCTAAGCATCGTAGAGCCTCAGCCACAGTTCAAATGGGTACTGCCTCTAACTTCACAAGAATGAAAGAGAAGAGGTCATCTTTCTACCTTGTCAGCTACCGGCAGACCTAGAGAAAGAAAAAACAAGAGTTGTTAACATAAGGATGTAATGTTTTTTTTTTAGGACATCTCACCAAACATGTAATATTGAGTAGTAACCGGACAACAACTGAAAGGGAAAAAGGAGTAGAAGGCGCGGAACCTAGGCGCGGAACCCAGGCGCGGAACCCAGGCCTCAGGTCTTGCACAGAAAGTTGCTTACCCCTGATAGCTGAGACTCTGGTTCATAGAGCTTGGGACGAAATTTATTTCTCTTTAAGTTGCAGGATCTCTTCAGGAAGCAGTCCCCAGCAGAGACCCAGGCCTGAGGGGAAGATGACAGACTTTCTTCATACTGCTTTTGACCTGCATATTGTGAAAACAGTTTCTTTTATGAACAACAGCACATTTTCACAATTTCCACTTAGTCAAAGTAGCTATCTTTCCACTAGTATCCATCGCAACCTGTTTCTACTTACCACAAGGCAAAAATCTGTATTCACATTAAGGCACCTTTTTCACACAGCCCTTTTTTCAGTCTTCCAAATACTTAAGAACCTTCTTCAACGTCAGGCTGACCTGTGTGCGCTTGGGCTTCTGAGGCCTTTTTATTTTTTTTCCTCCAGTGCTTGGAAGGGAGCTTAGAATCCACCTAAGTAATTTCACAGAAAACAGACAAGGTGAAGGAAGTACTCAAACTCCTCAACAGTAACAACCACAGAACCCAGGAACACTTACCTACTGTCTTCTGAACTCGAGTCACTTCCAAAGCGCTTCGCAGTGAAATAGTGCCACCAGGGTTTTTCTGAAGAAGGCACCACCAATGTAACTAGCTCATAGAGTCTCTAAAACTATTTCACAGAGAGGGCAGAAAACATGAATGAAAAGCAGACTAGTAGGGAACACTGAGCCCGATTAGGGAACACTGAGCCCGATTCACCATGAGAGAAAAACACCCTAGGCTACCCAAGCCTCAGTCTCTCCTGGGGAGGCAATTCCCCCACAACTCCTCAGGCTTCCTATATAGCAAAGGTCAAATGACCCACACCTGGCAGGTTTCACTTAACAAAGGTGGAGCCAAGAGACCTTGTGGAATAAGCTCATCTACCTGGCTTCAAAGTTTTAAGGTCTATTGCTCCTTATCACTAGTAGAAATAACCTGACAAGGGGCTTAGTGGTTACAGTTGACCCAATGAATTAATTATAAAAGGTGCACAAGGGTCATATTTGTGTTAGTCATTCTGTTAGGAAAATTAGTACATTAGCCTGTTAAAATAAGATAAATAAACATAAATCAAATAAATAAATCAAAGAAAAAATAAAATGATCTTAAAGGCACAGAGTCTGTTAAAACATATATATATAAACAAACAAAAATAAAATAAAATAAATAAGTAAAAGAAAATAACCTTAAAAGAAAAATTGCTATCATGTATTTTCATCTGTCTAGTCGCAACATATAAAGAATATAGCAATCAGAACTACTTTTATTGACATTTATGTTATTCAAATTTGCTTTGCTGAGATCTCTTCTTTATGCAGGACTTTTCAAAATCTAGCCCCATGACCTGTGACTACTGCATTTACTTTGGCTGTATATAAACTATCATGTATAAATGCCAGGATCTGGATCCTCACTCCCTATTCAGGTCAAGGACTGGGCTGGAAGTTTTGGCTTTAATTTGGTTACATGACTACATTGCTCTTGTCATGGTTTCCCCCTGGCCAGCAGCTAAACACCACACAGCCGTTCGCTCCCCCCTCCCCCTCTGGGATGGGGGAGAGAAATAGGAAAACCAAGCTTGTGGGTCGAGACAGAGACAGTTTCTTAAGACAGGAAAAAAAATGCAGCCATAATAGTACTGCTACTACTAATGTGTACGGAATAAGTGATGCATAGTGCAATTGCTCACCGCCTGCTGACCGATGCCCAGCCTAACCCTGAGCAGACGGCCCCCCCATTCTGGCTAGCCACCCTATCTATTGTTTAGCATGACATCAGAGGGTATGGAATAACCCTTTGGCCAGTTTGGGTCAGCTGTCCTGGGTCTGTCCCCTCCCAGCTCCTGCTGCACCCCTAGCCTGCCCACTGGCAGGACAGAGTGAGAAGCTGAAAAGTCTTTGGCTTGGTGTAAGCACTGCTCTGCAACAATTAAAACATCAGCGTGGTATCAACACTTTTTTCATCCTAATCCACAACATAGCACCCTACCAGCTCCTAGGAGGAAAATTAAGTCTATCCTAGCTGAAACCAGGACAGCAGTTTTCTGGCAGGTCTTGGGAAGAAGATTGGCTGGCTTGCGGGAGCTTCTGTACATGCGTTCCTCTAGATCTGGAAGTCTGAAGAAGATTACAGGTCTCCAAACTCAGAGCCAACCACCTATTAGTGTGGCACAACTGATTTTTGTCTTCCTTGCACTAGCTGTTCTTTCACCTCCTCTTCAGAGACAAGGACATGCGTGTCTTTCATGCTCCTTCATTAGTAAACAAACAAGGATAGATTAAAGCCTCTTTCTTCAAGTCAGTAAGATCCCTGCCTTTGATTTCATTAAGACTCAGGCCCTAACAACTGAAGTTTCTTCTCTATGGTGTTTCTTCTGTATAGGATAATTTAATTTCCCTGTTGAAGTCTTACAAGGATGTAGTAACAAAAGCAAAAGCATAGAACAGTACCTGAGGCTTAGGCTACTTTTGAGCCTGCAGCAGACTATACGTATGATATTATCATTTCAGACAAACATGATCTACATAATGTGAAGTGTTCCGGCATGTTTGCAATCTGCCAAAGGCCAGAAAATGGGACCTTCATTTTAAGACTGTATGGAAAAGAAAACAAAAACAACAACAACAAATTAAGAGAAGGAATTTTCCTTCACCTAAATTTTATTATTTTGCAACTGCTTCAGGTGTCCACGAGGAATTATGCCCCCCCAAAAAGACACTGTGGCATAGAGATATAGCAGAAGACATTCTTCTCACTGAAGTACAGTTAAGCCCCACAAAGTGCCAAAAAAACCCTGCCAAAACGTAATGTATTTATAAGTTAGTTTTACATGTTGGCATTATTTACTTGTCTGGTCTTGCATTCAAGGCTTGATCTATCTGGGGGTAGAATATGTAATGCCGTGCAAGGTTGCTTAGTTATACATGTATGACTGGCAAAATGACTTTAAAATTTTGAACTGTTTGTATAGAAGCAAAATGCAGAAGAGTACACTGTCTCCAAGGAAAACTACCTGTTGCTTCTCATGTTTAAAGTTTTCCCTTAAAATGTTAACATGTTTGAGTACAATTCTTACATATACATGCACATTTTCCTCTCCAATTTCCAACTTGGAGTGCAACATTTTTCATCATACTCTTAGATGAGGATTCTGATTCAGAGGAGTCAGAAGAGAGCTTTTGTAGAAAGAAAATGTATTTTAGGAGGTTCCTTTTTTTTTTTTTTTTTTCTTTCAGATAATCTAATCTTTCTTGGCTGCAAGACGTCTGCAGATATACAGAACAAACATCCACCTTAAATCCAGCCAGCTACAGATCAGTTCTATCCATCTCTAAAAGAGTTTTCAGAAAATTTGACAGAAGTATGAATGAAGGGATTCTGTATTAATGAGAATACTACCTCTCGCTTTACTTGGTTATTTGTTGTTGTTGTTGTTGCTTGTTGAAAGCAGTAATGTCTTTTTTTTAAGACTAATTTCAATAGCACTGCATATGCTTATCTCTGTGGGTAACACAGGGTTTGGGAAGACACCAGTCATAATGTTTTGAATCCTCTACTCCAGTTAAAGTAAAATATACATAGGGATAGGGGCTTTCACAGTCCAGTCCTACTGAGGGCAGTAACTTCTTCAGTAGCCCTAATTTGATGTGTTCCATTGCAAACTATACAACAGCTATAACTATTGAGAATGCACCTGGAGGTACCTTAACCTCAGCAGACACCAGTATTGTAGCAAAAGAGGTGGGTTATTTCCTGGTTCTTCCTGCACCAAAATATGGGGTTCTTAGCACAATCTAGTCCATTCACCTATCTTGTTCTTTAAGAATATCTGTATCCCTGGTCATTTTTCCTTCTGTCTAGGCATGCAAGTATTCCCTTACCACTAACAAAAACAGCCCTGAAGTCACAGAGGAGCAAAGCCATATCTTATGCTCTTCCTGTAAGTTCCCACTTCAGCTCCTCTTCTTCTTTGCCTGTTTTCTTCTTCACCAGTGAAGAATATGTTCCCTGAAGATGAAATTGGTTTGGAGGATCTGAAGCCGATATGACAATTTAGTTTCATATTGGTGCCATTTGATGAAAGAATTATATCTTGTCTTTCTGGAAACTGTATAGAAAAGGGGCAAATCCTATCACCATCTTGAAGTTCGATCTGAGGACCAGATCTGGGGACCATATCTTGGTACCAGATAATAATTTCCTATTTAAAGGAAATTTGCTTTGAAAAATGAAATTGTTTCCTCTACTCAATTAACAGACATGGGCAAAGTCGAAGGATGATTTTCCCACAGTACTCGTCTGTGAAGATATTCTCTGTCTGGTTCCCGCAAACATAAAACAGGTGCAAAAATCTGTGACTGGACAGCCACATGCTTTTCTGGACAGCCTCAATTTAGTAGTATTGTAGATTTACTACTGAATATTGTTCCAAACACATATATATATACTATGTAAATTTGCTTTCAGATTATTATTTTTCCTCATTCCTCAACCTTTCTTTAAGAGAAATCACAGACATTCTCCTAAGCAGCTTTACCACTATACAATGTAATTTAGTTCATATTTAAAAATACAAATAATCAGTAAAAATTGTGCCAAGAAATCCCATACATTCTCAAATTTGTTTGCTATCTGTATATGCTATTTAGTAAACACTCATTTACAGATACATGTGTATATCAAGACAGATTTAGAAATAATTAGGAAGCAGAAGAAAAGTTGAATTTGTAATTGATATAATTCCCAGTAAATAATTAAACACCCAGTTTAATAGTGTAAGTAACAACACATAGCAGGCATTATTTTAGAACAGTCAAACAAAAATAATCCAAAAAAGCCCTCTGTATTCATAGTGACAATTCTCTTATGACAACATCACAGAAAAAGGTTGTAATTAATGCAAAAAAATAAAGCGGACAATCTATTAACATAATCTGAATAAAATCCTTCCACTGTTAAATGTAGGCACTAAGTGTTAGTATAATACTTTATTAATTAACAAAGTATTTATCCACTGGGAAATGAGGATAAAAGACTGTACACTTTGTCAGGCTCCAGAAAAATGTGTTAGCTCTTCATAAGAAATGCATAAAACTCAAACAAAAGAATGATTATCTCTTTAAACCAATTACATTTAATCTCAGAAGAAAGAATGAATAAATTGGTTCCTTCATGTTACTGTGATACACCACTAAAATTACACAGATCACAGTCCTTTATAGATTTCAATGCTAATATCAAGCTAGTCTCTTGAACTGCTAGAAGTATTAGTATACTGTAAAGATTTTTAAGTTATAGGAATGTTTTAAGAGGAAAAATAGTTTTCTCAATGCTTTACTTTAAATAACTCTACTCAAATGAAAGACAAACTACTTTCTAAAAAGCCTTCATCACATAGCATAGACACCCTGGCCAGACACCTTTATAATAAATACAGAATATCCTTATCCTATTTACACTGTCAGAATGGTTTACACATGCCATATGCTCTGGAAATCTTGCTTCTCCTACACTTAAATTTTGTAAATGCTACATATGCAGATAATCATATTTGAAATAATTGTAAATAGTTTCTCATCCATTTTCTATAAAAAAAGAAAGTAAAATAAAATAAAAGCAGGACTTCCAGACTACAAAGATTTATAAATTAAAACAAACAAAAAAACAAAAAAACTATTCAAAAAGTCTTAAGATAAAATATTCTACAGAAAGTGAAGGAAATTAGAAAAGTAGAT